TGTATTAAAAAGCGAGGTATTCACAGGGCGGGGAGAAAAAACGGAAAAGTGAAATCAGGGAGTGATTAACGTCATAGAACCAGTTGGGCCGAATGTTTCTCTGCTGTATATTCCAATGTATTCTCAGGCTTACCCCGTGTCACAGCTTCCCTCCTAACACAATATGACACATCCTCGGCTAACCCATTGTCACACAGCATCTACTATCCAGGTTCCCACCTCCTCTGCTATACGTGTGTACACACCATCTCTGCTAACACCAGGGTCACACGTCGCTGTTTGTGATGGTACAGATTGTGTTAATTGACATAAGCTTGAAGTTGTTGCTGTGGATATTGTATTGTATGTACTTGGCAGGAGGTAACCCACCCAAACTGGTGAATGGAGACAGCCGGTGTGTGGGGAGAGTTGAGCTGTACTACTATGACACTTGGAGAACAGTTTGTGGCGAGACGCTGAACATGGAGATGGCAGAATATATTTGTAACTATTTGGGATGTGGATTTGCTGTATCAGTCTCAAGTAACGCTCGCTTTGGAGAAGGATCGGGGCCTGTGGTTGGTCGGCCTGACTGCGGACACGGGCAGGACGGTGGCATATTCTGTTCAGGTATAGACCACAACTGCAACAACGTGCCATTGATATGGGTGGAGTGTAGGGCCAATCAAGTTTAATTTGGGGATTGTTGGCAATGGCAACAGAAAAAGAATCCCTTCGGTTATTGAATATCGTCATGAGATTTGTTACCACTACCTGAACAGCAGTCAAGGCTATAAGCAACTCCAGCTTACAGTGTCCCCGAGCTCACACTGTCCCCGAGCTCACACTGTCCCCGAGCTCACACTGTCCTCGAGCTCACACTGACCCCGAGCTCACACTGTCCCCGAGCTCACACTGTCCTCGAGCTCACACTGACCCCGAGCTCACACTGATCGCGAGCTCACACTGATCCAGAGCTCACACTGACTCCGAGCTAACACTGACTCTTCGCTCACAGAAAGACATACCCAAACATCAAAAAATATTTCAATACGGAAGAATTGCAGCGTCAAATCAAGACACGTAGTCGGAACCACCCACATTTCTGCCTCGTATTAAACCTCAGAGAGAAACAGTCTCAGAGGGTGAGGATGGGCTTATTGTCGACACTGATGTTCACTGTCACAGATCAGATCAGAGTGAGTGTTTGTGAGATTACCTTTACTGTGTTTTAATTTCAGATCCACTTCAGAAAGCCATCATTTCCCTGAAGCCAGATTCCCCGTTCTTTGTGGGAGGGGAAAGCGCTCAGATCTCATGTTCTGGGAATTTTCCAGGCAGCATATTCTCTTTATACATAGACGGCAAGTTTCTCATATCACGGACAGCTCAGGAAAACATCCACACGTCAAATTTCACCCTGTCGGATTTCAGTGCAGGAAATTACACGTGTAAATATACTACACATATAGACGGTCGAGAGTTCACATCCCCAGAGAGCGAACGAGTGGGAATCTATTTGTGGGGTAAGATCTGAGTATGATTTTACATAATAACCTGTTTGCGTTTCTCTCACGAATCTGTTAAATGGCCGTTCGCTGCCACTTGCATTATGGTAGCCTTGATCACAGATCTGCCCTCCAACTACCACTGTCCCCCATCCCGCCGCCCACTCATCCTAACACATGTACCAAACGCTCAATGACATAAGTCTCCTTCAATTCTTCACTTTCCCCCTTAATTCATTTCACACTTCCTATTCCACAACCCTTCATTATTTCTATTCATCATCCGCACGTGCATTCTATTCCTTCCATCCCCACCCTCTATTTCTCCCAAACACTGACTTTCTCCCACAGCCTCACTCCCTCCCACACCTTTTAATCTACTCTCGCTCCTGTGAAAGTCTTGCTGCCTCTTGATTGTGTTTATATTGTCTGATACCAATCCCGCTTCAGTCAATGATTCCCACCATCTCATTCCACTGTATGTGAAGTCGTTGCACCTAAATTTTCTGTTTGTTCCCCTGGATGTGATCGTATCCTGTTATTTAAATACTTCTGAAGGTCAGGTGAGTTTCTGTCTGAATTCCCTGTCTCACGTCCCTGGCTACAGCTTTGTAGTACACCAGACCACGGCCTCACTGCTCTCCATGGCCACACCTGTCCCATCCGTTGACCCCTCCCTAGGTTTAAAGAAACATATGCTCGGTCCTGTCCTGTACCTTTCGCTTAACCCTTGCCTCTCCTACTCTTCGTAATGCTTCCTTCAGGCTGAGAAATAAGCAACTGGACAGTTTTTTTCTGAACCGAACTGTTTTCATGTCACGGAGCGAGTGTTTGTGAGATTATCTTTTCATTCCAGAACCGCTCCAGAAACCAACCATTTCCCTGAAGCCAGATTCCCGGATGTTTGTGAGAGGGGATAGCGCTCAGATCTCATGTTCTGGAAATTATCCAGGCAGCATATACTCTTTATACATAGACGGCAAGTTTTTCACATCACTGACAGCTCCGGAAAACATCCAAACGGCAAATTTCGCCTTATCGGATTTCAGTGCAGGAAATTACACGTGTAAATATGCTACACATATAGACGGACGAAAGTTCACATCCCCAGAGAGCGAACGAGTGGGAATCTATTTGTGGGGTAAGATCTGAGTAAGATTTTACATAATAACCTGTTTGTGTTTCTCTCACGAATCTGTTAAATGGCCGTTCGTTGCCGCTGGTTTATACTAGCCTTGATCACAGATCCACCCTCCAAGTACCACTGTCCCCCATCCCTACCCCCATCCATCCTTACACATGTACCAAACGCTCAATGACACAAGTCTCCTTCAATTCCTCACTTTCCCCTTTATTTCATTTCACACTTCCTATTCCACAACCCTTCATTACTTCTATTCATCATCCGCACGTACATTCTATTCCTTCCATCCCCACCCTATATTTCTCCCAAACACTGACTTTCTCCCACAGCCTCACTCCCTCCCACACCTTTTAATCTCCTCTCACTCCTGTGAAAGTCTTGCTGCCTCTTGATTGTGTTTATACTGTCTGATTCCAATCCCGCTTCAGTCAATGATTCCCACCATCTCACTCCACTGTTTGTGAAGTCGTTGCACCTAAATTTTCTGTTTGTTCCCCTGGATGTGATCGTATCCTGTTATTTAAATACGTCTGAAGGTCAGGTGAGTTTCTGTCTGAATTTCCGGTCTCACGTCCCTGGCTATAGCTTTGTGGTACACCAGGCCACGGCCTCACTGCTCTCCATGGCCACCCCTGTCCCAGCCGTTGACCCCTCCCTAGGTTTAAAGAAACATATGCTCGGGGCTGTGCTGAACCTGTCGCTTAACTCTTGCCTCCCCTACTCTACATGATGCTTCCTTCAGTTTAAAAAATAAGCAAATAGACAGTTTTCCGCTGAACTGAACTGTTTTCATGTCACGGAGCGAGTGTTTCTGAGATTATCTTTACTCCATTTCCAGAAACCCACCATTTCTGAAGCCAAATTCACGGGGGTTTGTGAGAGGGGAAAGCGCTAAGATCTCATATTCTGTAAATTATCCAGACAGCAATTTCTCTTGATACAGAGAAGGGACATTGATCACATCACAAACAGCTCCAGAGAATAACAACACGTCAACATTCACCCAATCCTAGATCAGTGCAGGAGATTACTGGTGTCAGTGTACCACACGCACGGACGCCCGCGAGCGCTCATCACCAGAGAGCGATCGAGTGGGAAGATGGACGTGGGGTGAGAGCGAGTGTCTGGACTCTCTCACCAATGGACACTCGCTGCCCCCTAGTGTCCAATCACCGCGATCAGAGCAAGCATCTGCCTCACCCTCGCTTCACTTTATATAATCGTAGAACTATGCAGCACTGAGTCGACCTCCCGTGCCTATGCCGGCTCTTCGAAAACATCTGGCGATTCAATCCCACTCTCCTGCTTTCTCCGTTCCCTCTGTCTCGCACCTTGATACCCTCCTACACCTTGATATCATCCCACATCCCATTGCCTACCACAAACTCAGTTACTCCCACACAGTCTGTTCCTAACTCCCACCACTTGATACCGTCCAACGGCTGCTGTTCTCCTCTCCCTCAATCCATCCCACACCCCCTCTCCCTTCAAAATCCACTTTTCCCCTGTCACTCCTGTGTAGGCCTCTCTACATCTTGAACGTATCTAGACTATCTGATTCAATCCTAACTTATGAGATCCAAAATCTCAATTCCCTCATTGAGAAGTCGGTTCTCCTGAATTCTCTGTTTGACCTTCTGGTTCTGATTTTATTCTGCTGTTTAAAATACGCCAGAAGATCACACGAGCACATCAGATTAAATTCCCGTTCTCCCTGCGCAAGCTGGAGCTCTTTGTTTTACATTCGCTGGTCCCATTTGCGTTCCCCTTGCTCCTCCGCTATCAGACGTTGCTCCCCTTACTCTGTGAAGAGAAACACTTGCTGCAATCCGTCCCGATCTTAGCCCTCAAAACTTTCCGCTCGTAATTACGCCACCTCCAGGTTGGGAAACAAGGAAATTGTCACCTTTTCTCTGAACTGAATAGTGTCTCTTCCACGGAACGAGGCATTGTGAGACAAACTTTACTGTGTTTTAATTACAGATCCGCTCAAGAAACCCACTATTTCCCTGAAACCAGATTCCCAGGTGATTGTGAGAGGGGAAAGCGCCGTGATCTCATGTTCTGGCAAATATCCTGGCAGCAATTTCTCTCTGTACAGAGACGGCGAGTTTATCTCATCACAACCAGCTCCAGAAAATAACCAATCGACCACATTCACCCAATCGGACATCAGTGCAGGAAATTACTGGTGTAAATATACTGCACACATAGAGGGACGAGAGATCACATCACCAGAGAGCGATCGATTGGCAATCTCTGTGCGGGGTAAGAGCGAGAGCCTGCACCCTCGCCAACCAATGGTACCTTACTGCCCCCTAGTGTCTATTCACCGCGATCACAGCATGCCTCCGCCCCAAACTCCCACTCCTTTATAGAATCACAGAATTATTCGCATGGCAGGAGGACATTCAGTCGATAATACTTGTGTTGTTTCTTTGAAAAGAGCTATCCGATTCAATCCCACTCTCCCCGCTTGTCTCTTCTCTCTCTCTCTCTTTTTCTCTTTCTCTACGGAAACTTTGCCTTCCCCAAATATTATCTTCTTTCCCTATCTTTTTGACACGAGTCAGTCCCCATTCCTCCCTTCCTACTTCCCGCTGAGTACTTCGTTGCCTCCCACACACAGCCTGCCTCACCCTCTCTCCCTCCCAGAAGCTTTCCACCCTCCGTCACATATACTCATACCCTCCCATACAATGATACACTCCCACACACGTATTGCCTCACACACTCCCACACTAGTTATTTCTCCATCCCATCCACTAAACAACGGCCAAATGTTCAAATCACCTCTTCGTCATTCCATCCTACAGTCCCACGCAATTGAAAAATCTTAGCGTTCTCTCGCTCATTTGAAGTTCTCTAGAATATCTGATTCAATCCTAGCTTCAGGCAGCGATTTCTACTATCTCATTTCCCACTGGTGAATCTCTTGCTGCTTAATTATTTTTTGTATTGCCTGGTTGTGATCTGTCACCCTCTTCCCCTCTCCCACCTTTTCTGCGCCACTCTCCCATCCCCTCCTCTCTCCCTACTCCCACTCTATCCCAACTCTCCACGTCTCTCCCCCACCTCCGTCTACGTTTTCCCCCACTTGCTAAGCTCGAGACCCTCTTGTATCATATACAGGGTTGATGCTTGTATTTCGGTGAGTGCCAAAAGCCAGGATTTGAGTTGAGGTAAATGCTAGTGTTTTCCTTGCTAAAGCAATAAAACATGTCATTGAGATGGAGCCATGTCCTTCCATCGCTCCCGCTGGTTTTCATCTCGGACAGGAGCTGAGAAGAATTACTCTCTGCCCGCATTGACTTGTCTGCCCTTCCAGGTCCTGGACATGGCCCAGCCTGGGCTTTTATGCCAATAGCAGTGAGTACAACTTGATAGTCGGAACTGCCTGGCTCAGGAACGGGACTAGGGTCCAATCAGGGGTTATTCGATTCTGATATTCCAAGTCCATCTTTCCCTCTCACCCTCCCCACCTACCCCCTTACCACAACCCACCACTGCACGACTCACCCCTATTTGTTATTATAATCAATAGTTGCATTCGGTTGAGTTGTTCATGTAACAGGGAGGGTTGATGAAGGAAATTTAGTTGTTCTTGTATACGTAGACTTTCAAAATGCGTTAGTTAAGGTGCCAAAACAGTCTGATTGGCAGCACTGAAGGCCATGAGTTTAAGGCAAGTGTATGGAAACACGGATCTAAAATTGGCCGGAGACAGACAGCAGAGGGTAATAGTGAACTGTTTTCAGGCTGGAAGAAAGTATGCGGTTGTGTCCCCCAGGACACGTTACGAGTCTCACTATTTTGTGAGTATATTAAGGATCTATACTTGGCTATATATGAAACATTTTAAAGTTTGCAGATGACACAGAATTTGGAAGTGTTGCAAAAATGAAGGAGGATGGCAGCAGACTGCAGGAGGATACCGACAGAATGGTGAAATGGGCAGACACATGGAAGTAGCTAATGCAGAGCAGTGGGAAGCAATGCATTTTCAGAAGAGGAATAAGGAGATGCAACAAACAATAAATATTGCAGTTCTCAAGTGGGTGCAAGTGCATAGAGATCTGGGTGCACATAAGCAATTCATTTTAGGTGGCGGAACAGGTTGGCGAAGTATTCAAAAAGAAGCATACATTATACTAGGGTTGATAAATTTAAAATGCAAGAGTAAGTAGCTTCTGTCGAACCTCTGGTAACAGTTCGTGAGGTTTCAGCTGGTTTCATGTTTCCAATTATTGCCAGTACACATTATGAAGAATGCTAGAGACTTGTCGCCTCGTGGAGGGTACCGAGGACATTCATCAGGTTGAAGAACTTAATTACGCTGGGAGACTGGAGAAGCTGTTCTTCTTAGAGCAGAGATTTAAAATAGTTGACAAAAGAAGCAGACGGGAGATGAGGAGAATTGGTTTGATCCAGGGAGTTGGTAGGGATGCCCTGCCTAAATTGTGGTGGAAACAGATTCGACAACATCTTTCAAAGCAGCACTAGATAAGTACTTGAAAAAGAAAATTAATGCAGGTCGACGAGGTAAGAGCACGTCATTGGGACGGGTTGGTTGCTCTTCAAAAACTCTTCGCGGAAGGCGCGAAGGACGAAATGACCACCTTCGGTTTTGCAACATTATATTTCTCTATGATTCCACATAAGAGGTTGTGGTACTGTGCCCCGTATCCACTGAGTTCCTTCCTCTAATCCTTCTTCTTAACCACCCTTTGTCCATCCATAATCTCATTTGTGGTTTTACCTCTTTCGCTGCTCCTATGTTCACATTTCCCTCCGGCTCTCCCGTGGTTGGCAAACAACGGTTCTCTGTGCAGCGCTACCAGGCGCTATCCTCTGTGAAGGGACCCATATAAATGTTGGGTGCTGTTGTTGTAATCTTCTTTTTGATTTGTTAATCAGAAGATAACCTTGCACGCTGCTTTGCATTCCAGCCAGAGCCAAACATCCATGTGCCAATATGTTGAACCATAGTAAGATCCAGCAGAGTAGTGTCTGTGCTTCTCTATAAAAGTACAATTATTTCAGTCGTTTTTACCTGGCCACAAGTGGAAGCTCGTCGCCGTGCTATGTAGATATCCGGCTGACCAAAGATACGTCGGCCAATCGAAAAATCATGATTGAGTCACTGACCAGTGTTGTATCTGTGTCTTTTTCACAGGTTACTTGACTACTCAGGGAATTGCGAACGTCGGCCGCCTCATCCTGGTGATCTCGTTGTGTCCGTTAATTATTGTCCTGCTCGTGGTTCATCACCGACGAATAAAAACATATAACAGTCAAGAAAGGGTTAGTGAAGACACGACCTGAACTCTCCACTGTTCTCTTGAAAGCTCCCATAATCCAGCTGGTGTCCAGATTACTCTCCGTCTCAGTCCACAGAATCTTTCTCTTACTGTTGATTTAATTTCTTCCCTTTGCTTTTTCCTCAAACACCTTGATGCACTCACTTCCCAGTTCTCTGTCTCATTCACCCGCCTGTGAGAGGCGAAGTGATGAGAGGCAAAATGCACCTGTCAATAATCAGACCAATAGCCATTCCCACATTTGATATTGCAGTTGCCACATCACGAAAATGTCTGAAAGCACATTTCAAGATGTACTGTTGATAAACGAGGTTATTTTGGGGTAAACGCGGCAGCTAATTTGCTTACAGCAATGTGCCAGAATCAGCCAACAAGTTAATCAAACCATAGGATCGTGTGATTTATTTTGGAGGCGAACACACATGTATAATAAAATTGCTTTGCGGTGGATTAAGATGAAATATATCTTTCCATTTGATCGTTCATTAGCACATCAACAGGTGTCAGAGGGAGATGGATTTAGGGAATAATGGATTAAGGTGTCAGTGGGAAATGAATGGAGACGTAGAATACCAAATAATATTCTAGTGCATAGCATTTTTCACATCAGTAACATGCTTGCAAATGATGTTCACAGCTGACTACACTTCTAAGCAATCCACTTTCCTGTTCCTGGCTCTCATGTCAACATCCAGCTTGCTCTTAATTGTTTAAAACCTTTCTCTCCACACTGAGAGTTTCACATGTTTTGCAATAATAAACAGATCATATTTTTCAACTTAGTTGTACAGTGTTCCTACCTGGAAAATTTCTCAAAGCGTTTCACACAATATATTGTTAAGTGCAGTGACTGTGAGTTTTTGTGAGTTTGCAGCAGCTAATTTGTGCAGAACACTGACAACATGTTGACCTTTCCTTGTGTGTGGAATGGAATCGGTGCTCTCTGACAGTGATGCTCCCTGGTCAGCTGTGCTAGGCATTAGAATGACACATAATAGGAATATCTTTGTGCTTTTGATAAGCTTTGCTCAAATTAAATATGCAGTTGTTATCGTTTTAATATTGTAACGTTTTTTATTCTGTTAAGATGACTACTGTGCTGTTTTGGTTTGCATTTTACATATAAATTGGATGACATAAAATTAACTCTTTTGTAGCTTTGCTTAAATGAAAGTCCACTACTAAATTAATGACGCCATAAATCTGTAAAACCTTTGAAGTGAAACCGAGTTGTTTCTGCAGCTAATGGCCTTCCTGGACCCGTGTTTTCCAGCGAAGTTCTAATAACAATTTAGTGAAGTTTCCTTGACTGATATTTGTTGTCCTTCCCTAACTTCGTTGGATATGTTTGTGAGAAGAAGGAATGTAACAGCAGATATTTTGTACGAAAAGTGGAAAAAACAAACAAGGAAACGGTGTTAATGGTGAAAAGGTATGACTTTGGGGTTGAGTCGTTATTAATGAAGTTCCCTTATCTTCTGTTCTTGCTGATGCGCTCCAACAGGGAAGGAAAGTTTTGTTGGATGGTATCCGTTGTGCAAAAATCAAGAGCAATGCCTCTGATTGTTTTGTTTGTAAAGTGGGGTGATTGGAAAGGGGGAAACGCTGTATAAGTGTTTTAAAATGACTTGTCTCAAGTTGAACATCCTTTAGTGAGAAGAAGAAGACAATACAGACCAATTGGCAACATTCCCTTTCTTTATCAAAATGTTCTTAATAGAGAGCCCACACTCCATAAATTTAATGATCTCGGTGTTCGATAGCTGAGAATTAATAGATACGGGAGTTTTACCTGCTCTCCTCTCACCTAAGCGTTAATATTTCTGTCCTTGCGTATTCTAGATCCTACCTCTCACACGATCTCCAGTTTGTCTGTACAAGTAGCTTCTTCTGGTGCCCCCGCACAGCCTGGTGCAACACTCTTGAGGGCTCTGTCCTTAGTGGTCTTCTATTAAACTTATTCGTGCTCGTTGTTGATAGCAGGTGGGATATTTGTTAGCAGAGTGTCATGCTACAGCCGTGTACATTTGCTGCACAAATAGCTAAAATACATTCTCTCCTCGACTCCTGCTCACATTCTCACTGGCAATGTACGGAGATGTTAAATGAACTGTCCATAATTAAAATTTACTATTTTTTTTTAACTGCCTTACCTGACTGCATATTACCTCTTCTAATTCTGTTCTGCCAAACTGAGGACTGCATCAACCTCACAGAAATTTAAGCAGCTCCTGCTCAAATGCTGCCCCATTGACCAATGGAACCATTGCTCAATAGAAAAAGATGTGCGTATGAGATAAAAGCAATAACACGACAATACTAACACACAATTCATGCTGAGTTTTGCGTGTCTCTTCCTTGAATCGAAATGGTAGTTTAAGCTGAACAACCCCCAAATGAACCACTCTGCTTATTCCCCACCTCCGAAATAAAATCCTCGTCTGCCATGACCTCTCCACTCCTGTTGTCACCACTTGTATTCTTGCATTTGTCATACACACTTGGTCACGACAAGGATTTTCTCGCCGGATTATCCAATTTCTTCTTACAATATAAAGACAACGCAGAACTTTCCGCATTATGTCCTTTGGCACACCAGGCTCCACAAGCCTGTGACCGCATCATTCTTGGCTATGTTTGGTCTCCAAATCCCCCAGCAAATTGGTTTCAAGGTCCTAGTCCTCAAGTTCAAACATACATATTACTGCCTGAACTCAACCACTTTGACAGCTTCAAATTATAACGAACAGCCTGGTCCCATCATAAGTCAAGCCTCGCTATCTTTAAAAACCCTACCCTTCGTTTCCAACCATCAGTTATCGGGCTATGCAGGTCAGGGCGAAACATTGGGCAAGTTTCCTTACTCCACACGCCTAATAATAATCCCTCCAAAAAAACAGAAGAACATCAAAATTTGTCATTTTGAATCTACGATTGTTTGTGGGACGTTGCTGTGCGCAATTGGCTGCCGCGTTCGCCCATAAATATGCAGTCAATTCACTTTACAGTGTGTTCTGTGAAACGCTTTGGGACGTCCTCCCGACGTGACAAGCGCTATGTCAAATGCAAGGATTATTAATATTATTATCGGACAATCTGCCTGCCCACACTCTGTAACTCAACCCCAGAGTACCCTCAAGCCCAACGTGAGGGGCGACTTGTTAATGCAAATTGTTGTTGTTGTTTTTGAAACCAGGACCAGCTCCATCGCACATCTCTTTCATGGGCCGTATCAAGACCTTCCTCATTCACCACGCTCTTGTTTATCTTTCTCTTTCCCACCCACTTGGCAAATACCGCTTCCTCCGGTCTCAATATTCCATGTTCAAACGTGTGAGTGTTAATTATTTTTACTTTATACAATTCCATGCACTACCCCGCGTGAATAGTAACAATAGTAATAATCCTTGCATTTGATATTGCGCTTTTTGCGTCGGGTGGACGTACCAAAGCGCTTCACAGAACACACTGTAAAGTGAATTGACCGTATATTTGGGGGCGAGCGCGGCAGCCAATTGCGCACAACAATGTCCCACAAACAGTCGTAGATAGAAAACGACTAACTTATTATTGATTTTGGTTTTTGAGGGATTATTATTAGGCTCTGTGTGGAGTAAGCAAACTTGCCAAAGGTTTCACCCTGACTGGAATTGAACTCGGGTCTCTCGCTTGCAAAGCGAGTGCTCTAACACTGAGCTACAGGACTCCACGTATGTAGTTTGATAGAAGCAAATGATAGATGCAAAAAACCTTGACTTTTCAGCGCACCGGGACGTCTTTCCGACTTGAAGGGCACGATAAAAGTGTGTAATTTGTTAATTTTGTTGCTCCATTTGTTCTTCTTGTGCTTCCTGTACAACAACAACAAGATTCCATTTATAAAGCGCCTTTCACGTCAGGAGGACGTCCAAGGCGCTGCAAAATATTTTCAATTATGTTGCTCCTTTCTTTCTGTTTATATTTCATTCTGCGCTGAAATTTTATGTATTTTGTGTGTAACTTCTTTTCAATTCACAATAATAAATCTAATCCAAGTGTGACATTTGCAAATCTCAAGAGATTACAATAACTTGTTTGTTCACATGTCTGGAACTAATTGCACTCATGATGCAAGATGTAGTTTCGTGTTCCCTATAAGTACAAATTTATTTCAGTGTGACGGCAGTATGCTCATTGAAGTCTCTGCCTTCAGCAACAATATGTAAAACAGACCATGGAATATCCAACGTTGTACACAGTAATTGCTATTTACTACCCCATTCTTGCAGCATTTGGAATTCCTGGTAAGTCTATTCGGGCGCTTGATACATCCAAGTTGTTGTTCTTGTTGTTGTGAGCTGGAGCAGGAGGACATGGAAGCCTGTAACCCACATTGAATACATGGTAAAATAAAAAGGTCTAAAACATGAGAGCATAACATTTACTGGGAGACAGAATACCAAGGCACACCGAGCCTACGTTCCACCATCGAGTTTACCTTCCAATCCATTGAGCGACAGAGACGTCTGTTGACACTTTTTGCAAGAAAAGTGCAGCTTTTGATTGATATATTTGCTGTCACAAGCAATCCCTGGATAATAAGGAATGACAACATCTGTAAATTAGATATTGAAATTTAAAATCTGAATGCAAATAGATGGAAACACTGACCACAGTGTGACGTGGGATTGTTTGCTCATCAGGCTTCGTGTTCTCCCACAACATACATTAAAGTGAAGTACAAATGGCCTTGAAATTTTATATGGATCCAATCAGCAACTAATTTAGGAACAACGTTTTTTGAAGAATAACATGAAATGTAGGTAGAAATATAAGAGTTACGTATTCGCAGATAGCTTCCAGTTATTTTATTTAAACTGTGCTGGAATGCTTGGAAAATAAATATTGCGAGAAAGCTGACTGATGCCTGAAAAGGTTGTGGACGGAAGTTACTGTGGCGCAATTGGTCAGCGCGGTCGGCTGCTAACCGAAAGGTTGGTGGTTCAAACACACCCAGGGACGGTCCTCTCTGGAATAAATATATTATTCTTCAATTGCTTCCTCGCACGTGAATTAATTCAAGAAAAAACTTGATCGGCTCCGTTGTCTTTATTTTCAAAGTATTCCAATACCCTCCTCACTTGTTTCATTGACAAATTGGAACATTTCTTACTTCGTCTTGGAATTCAACGACTTCCTTCCTCCTATGTTCCGGAAGCATTCGGAATTTAAAAAGAAATTACTTGCTGGAAGATATTTTATTGTGTCGATGAATGGCATTGCTGGACCTGGAGGAGTGAAACTAATCTACGCTGGAATCAACGTGATCGAACGGCCAACGAAACAAACGCAATTTGAGGGTATTGTCTCATGAACAAAAACGTTGACTTCCCGTTTGATCAATGGAAGAAGGAATAATTTTGTAAGCTTCTGCACACAGCTTTTGTGGTCAGAAATCACATCTGATCTGGACAATGTACGAGCTGAAGAAGATCATTTGATAGCGGTTGGATCCGAGCCCACGTCGGCTTAGAAAATGGAGCCTGTGTTCAGAGCCTTAGACAGCTGGGAAACGGTCTACTCTGTTTGTGAAAAATGACGATAATTGAGATTGAGTGCGGTGTAGTAATCGAGCTCGAATTCCAGAACCTGGTGCCTTGTGAATGAAGGTCAAAAAGGTTGCCTGCACCTACAGTACAGGAAACACAAGGAAGGTAATTGTTATCTCAGTGCAGGAAGTGGGCAAGAAACATAGATAAAGTCAGTGTCAGCTCAGTG